TATGATTGTGTCATTTGAGGTCAATACATTTATTCACTAGAGGTATCGCTCTACCCATCTGCACTGGGCAGGACAAGGCTTTGCAATTAAAAATAAAGAGAGGCCCTGAAACTGCCCCACACCTTGGGGGATAAATAAATACATTAAATAAATACACAAACAAATACATCAATCCATCAGCATTAGCAGACATCTGTTTCAAAGCCTGGTGGCTGCAAGGATGAGCCTGAAACTTGACATTCACTGCCATTTCCGAAACCTGGGAGTCAAACGAGAGATTGTTACGGCCACTTACGTATTTCTTTTGAATGATATTCCTCTTGGGTCTTTCTTTGCTCATTCTGGTATCCAAATGCTGATGGCAAAAGGGGACGATTGCTTCATGAATTAAAGCCGCGACGAGGTGTTAAAAATAAAAAATAATAATAATAATATAATAATAATAATTAAAAAAAAAACCACCGACAAAAAAAAAATCCTGGGTGGGTGCTGTTGGCTGGTAGTGGTCTCTTGTAATCCGACTTTCTTCGCCTCACAATACGATTCTCCTAGCAATAAATCCGAGAGGTGGCGATGGGGGAAGGAAGGGGGAAAATAATAATAATAATAATAATAATAATAATTATAATAATAATAATAAAAGAGAGAGAGGCGAATGCAAAGCAAAACACCCCCCAAAATAATCACTTGAGTGAAACATTCATCATGGAGAGAGGCTCCCCCTGAAGAGACGCGCGGGGGGAGGGAGAAAAGAGCACCCCGACGCCCTTGAGATCCCCCTTTTGGGGAGGGGGGGTTTCCTCTCTCTCCTCTGCCAAAGCCGCCTCAGCAGCGATCTGCGGGTCCGTAGTGTCTGAGCTGTAGTTACATCTTGGGCCAGGGAAGGGGCGGCCGGGAAGAGATAAATAAAGGAGGCTGGAAGTCAACACTCGCGCTGCTGCTGCGGCTGCAGCAGGGGAAGAAGCAGCGCAGACAACTCCGGCGGCGGCGGCGGCGGCTGCACGCACCGATTGTGTGTGTCTGTGTGTGTTGTGTGTGCGTGCGTGCCCGCCCGGGTGTGTGTGTGTGTGTGCGCGCGCGCCCGCCGCTCCCCCCGCGCCAGTGCGAGCCGAGCCGCCCTCCAGCAGCAACTTTAAATGGACCTGATCTTTTTTTACAAGCCCCCTTTAGGGCCCGCCGCGCAACTCCCGCCCACCCCGCCAGCCGCAAAGGCTTGCGACGCCGCTTCCCCGCCCCCTTCGCAGAGGGGGAATTTAGCCACGGTGCCTAAGCGCGCCGCACGGTCGGCCGCCCCCCGCCACCCCCTTCCCCGCAGCTCCTCTGGTGGAGCCCTTTAGGCCCACCCCCTCCACCCCGCTCCGCGCTACACGGGCCCCGCAGCGCCTGGCCTAGCTTGGCCTGGCGTGGCCGACCGGAGAATTGCCCTCGGCCTGTGGGGAAACTTGTAGTTTCCCCCTCACCACAAAATGGCTACGGCAGAGAGGCGGG